TGGCTGACACATGTCATTGTATCCCAGGTGCGTATCGATGCTCATGATGTTGATCACTGGACCGTCGTCACATCTGGAGTATTGCTGAGAGCGGCGTTAAACAACAAATAAACAAAACAGAACGATGTCGAATATTTGCTACAGAAATAGTGAGAGGGCATTATGTCAAAATCTTACAATCTACATATATGTGTAATTGCATTTGTGCAGCATCCAAGGAAGACAATGAAACTGATGGCGAGGCAAAGAGAAGGAAAAGAAGCATATCTAATCGTAAGTAAAATTAGTAAAGTCCCACAGTATCGGTAAAACTTTTTCTCCTCATTGTAGGTACATAAGAATCATTGTTGAAATAGCATATGCTTGAATAATACATAACATATCAACTACGGCTTGTTTAAATAACAATTAAATGAGTCTGTGCTGGCCATGTTTTTTATATTACAAGGCAACAGGGGATCCTTTAGAGGGCCGTTGTCCCACATTTTGATAACCATCCATAACAATGAATTGACTCCAGATGATTGAGCGAGCGTTCATTGTTTGTGCTCTTCACTCAGTGACACAGGATAACACTTCATGGCGTGTACGACACGTATTTTGGGTCCCCTATTCTGTGTCGATTCTTTTATCTAGCATGACATATATACTCACTTTTTCTGTGCAACATTCTACCATCTTGTTTCTGTTGAATTTCATTCTCTGCATTTCGTCTGTACACTGTGTCTTTTCATTTAACTTCATTGCTCACACTCACAGTCAAGAAGTCCTTTTGCAAATCTTTGACTTGTGAACATCAGCGCCAGCTGTGCCAAATACCACCTGGAGTGAGTGAGTTTAGTTTTACGCCGCACTCAGCAATATTCCAGCTATATGGCGCAGGTCTGTAAATAATCGTGTAAGGACCATACAATCCAATGATCAACAGTATGAGCATCGACCTACGCAATTACCATCTGAAGATTGAGCGAGCGTTCCTTGTTTGTACTCTTCACTCAATGACACGGGATAATACTTCATGGTTTGTACGACACGTATTTTGGGTCCCCTATTCTGTGTAGATTCTTTTTTTTTTGCAGGAAGTATAGAATCACTTCTACTGTGCAACATTCTACCATATCTTGCTTCTGTTGAATTTCATTCTCTGCATTCCGTATGTGCACTCATTGCTCTCACCCACAGTCAAAATGTCCTGTGCATAATACCATTTGAAGATTGACCGAGCCTTCTTGTCATTGCTCTTTACTCAATGATACAGCATAACCCTTCATCATGTGTACTCATCTTGATATAATCCACATAAGTATGTATTGTTAATTCACAGCATTGCGGGGTGACGTTGCAATGTAATGCTGGCATCAAATTGATAATATCCGTTTGAAATGTCACATGGAACTCCTTAAATACTGATATTTCAAGATAGATCTATCATTCTATTATGACTAAATCATTTCACAGTTTCGAATATGTTAATATATGTATTTCATTGTAAAGACACATTTAGCAGAAATGCTGTCACAATATTAGCTGCAAACATTTCTGAGAGGACACTTCGGTTGCACCATGTATATGTAATTTGTCAGACAACCAGATTCATCAGCTATCGTATGCAAATAAGACCACAAATATTTTTCACCTCGTTCTCCTCAAACTCTCCTCTCTGTGACTGAACATGAAATTTCCATAGGATTTCTCTATGAATATTTCAAACCAATTGTACTTGGTGGATAGAACAAAATTAGCACACATGTAATGATGTGTTTGTTGCAGGGATGATGAAAATGAGAAACCGAAGAAAGGAAGCAAGAAAGAGTAAAATGAGTAGTAGGTTCCTAAATGATGGGTTTGATTTTAGATGTCCCTTGTCCATTCCCCCTAAATATGGAACTAGCGTTAGTCTCTATGCTATAATGTGTCTACGAATTTCTATAAGTCGCAAATGTCATCTATTCCGTATGGATTCTTTTCTCCAGCAGGAAATATATAAGCATAACATTCTACCATATCTTGGTTCTATTGTCTTTTCACTTGACCATTAAAACTATTATATTAATATATATTATGTTATTATTATGTTAATATGTCTTTCATTGTAAAGACACATTTAGCAGAAATGTTGTCACAATATCATCTGCAAACATTAATTGTCTTGTTCAGACAATGGGGATAACGACGATGATACAGACGAGGGAGAAGGAAAGCACGGAGGCATGTTCAGTCGTAAGTACGTTTATGTTTAAAATTACTGGGAATGCTAGAGCATTGCTTGGAGGCCAGAATTCATGGCGTTTCTGAACACAACAGACATGTTATATCACAAGTAACCGGACCCGTGAAGATCCGGGGTTAGAATTGATCTTCAGTGACCCATTTCTGTCGTAAGAGGCGACTAACGGGATTGGGTGGTCAGGCTCGCTCACTTGGTCGACACATGTCAACGTATCCTAATTGTGTAGATCGATGCTCATGATGATGATCACTGGACTGTCTGGTCCAGACTCGATTATTTACAGACCGTCGCCATGTAGCTGAAACATTGCTGAGTGCGTCGTAAAACTAAAGTCACTCACTCTCAGGTAACCGATGAATAAAGAGTTCATTCATACTATTCGTGTCATTTCGTGAAGTAGCATTAATGTACACGTATGAGATGACTCTGCTGAACCTTGCACCATGTATATGTAATTTGTCAGACAACCAGATTCATCAGCTATCGTATGCAAATAAGACCACAAATATTTTCACCTCGTTCTCCTCAAACTCTCCTCTCTGTGACTGAACATGAAATTTCCATAGGATTTCTCTATGAATATTTCAAACCAATTGTACTTGGTGGATAGAACAAAATTAGCACACATGTAATGATGTGTTTGTTGCAGGGATGAGGAAAATGAGAAACCGAAGAAAGGAAGCAAGAAAGAGTAAAATGAGTAGTAGGTTCCTAAATGATGCGTTTGATTTTAGATGTCCCTTGTCCATTCCCCCTAAATATGGAACTAGCGTTAGTCTCTATGCTATAATGTGTCTGTGAATTTCTATAAGTCGCAAATGTCATCTATTCCGTATGGATTCTTTTCTCCAGCAGGAAATATATAAGCATAACATTCTACCATATCTTGGTTCTATTGTCTTTTCACTTGACCATTAAAACTATTATACTAATATATATTATGTTATTATTATGTTAATATCCCTTTCATTGTAAAGACACATTTAGCAGAAATGTTGTCACAATATCATCTGCAAACATTAATTGTCTTGTTCAGACAATGAGGATAACGACGATGATACGGACGAGGGAGAAGGAAAGCACGGAGGCATGATCAGTCGTAAGTACATGTTTCGGGTTTTTTTTGAGAATGCAAGAGCATTGGTTGGAAGCCAAAATGCAAGACGTTTCTGAACACAACATAAATGTTATACCACTCGTAATCGATATTTAAAATGTTAATTCATACTATTCTTATTTATTTCGTGAAGTAGCATAAATATACTCATTAATGTACACGTCTGAGATGACTGTTGAACCTTGCATGTGTGTATTGTTTCATACAACCAGATTCATCAACTAAGGTATAAAAATGAGACCATAAATATTTTTCACCTCGTTCTGCACAAACTCTCCTCTCTGTGACTGAACATGAAATTTCCATAGGATATCTCTATGAATATTTCAAACCAATTGTACTTGGTGGACAGAACAATACCATCACACATGTAATGATGTGTTTGTTGCAGGGATGATGAAAATGAGAAACCGAAGAAAGGAAGCAAGAAAGAGTAAAATGAGTAGTAGGTTCCTAATTGATCGATGGGTTTGATTTGAGATGTCCCTTGTCCACTCCCCCTAAATATGGAACTAGCGTTAGTCTCTATGCTATAATGTGTCTGTGAATTTCTATAAGTCGCAAATGTCATCCATTCCGTATGGATTCTTTTCTCCAGCAGGAAATATATAAGCATAACATTCTACCATATCTTGGTTCTATTGTCTTTTCACTTGACCATTAAAACTATTATATTAAAATATTTTATGTTATTATTATGTTAATATGTCTTTCATTGTAAAGACACATTTAGCAGAAATGTTGTCACAATATCATCTGCAAACATTAATTGTCTTGTTCAGACAATGAGGATAACGACGATGATACGGACGAGGGAGAAGGAAAGCACGGAGGCATGATCAGTCGTAAGTACATGTTTCGGGTTTTTTTTGAGAATGCAAGAGCATTGGTTGGAAGTCAAAATGCAAGACGTTTCTGAACACAACATAAATGTTATATCACTCGTAATCGATATTTAAAATGTTAATTCATACTATTCGTATTTATTTCGTGAAGTAGCATAAATATACTCATTAATGTACACGTCTGAGATGACTGTTGAACCTTGCATGTGTGTATTGTTTCATACAACCAGATTCATCAACTAAGGTATAAAAATGAGACCATAAATATTTTTCACCTCGTTCTCCTCAAACTCTCCTCTCTGTGACTGAACATGAAATTTCCATAGGATATCTCTATGAATATTTCAAACCAATTGTACTTGGTGGATAGAACAAAATTAGCACACATGTAATGATGTGTTTGTTGCAGGGATGATGAAAATGAGAAACCGAAGAAAGGAAGCAAGAAAGAGTAAAATGAGTAGTAGGTTCCTAAATGATGGGATTGATTTTAGATGTCCCTTGTCCATTCCCCCTAAATATGGAACTAGCGTTAGTCTCTATGCTATAATGTGTCTGTGAATTTCTATAAGTCGCAAATGTCATCTATTCCGTATGGATTCTTTTCTCCAGCAGGAAATATATATTATATTAAGCATAACATTCTACCATATCTTGGTTCTATTGTCTTTTCACTTGACCATTAAAACTATTATATTAATATATTTTATGTTATTATTATGTTAATATGTCTTTCATTGTAAAGACACATTTAGCAGAAATGTTGTCACAATATCATCTGCAAACATTAATTGTCTTGTTCAGACAATGAGGATAACGACGATGATACGGACGAGGGAGAAGGAAAGCACGGAGGCATGTTCAGTCGTAAGTACATGTTAAGGGTTTTTTTTGAGAATGCAAGAGCATTGGTTGGAAGCCAAAATGCAAGACGTTTCTGAACACAACATAAATGTTATATCACTCGTAATCGATATTTAAAATGTTAATTCATACTATTCGTATTTATTTCGTGAAGTAGCATAAATATACTCATTAATGTACACGTATGAGATGACTCTGTTGAACCTTGCATGTGTGTACTTTTCCATACAACCAGATTCATCAACTAAGGTATAAAAATGAGACCATAATTATTGTTGACCTCGTTCTCCTCAAACTCTCCTCTCTGTGACTGAACATGAAATTTCCATAGGATTTCTCTATGAATATTTCAAACCAATTGTACTTGGTGGATAGAACAAAATTAGCACACATGTAATGATGTGTTTGTTGCAGGGATGAGGAAAATGAGAAACCGAAGAAAGGAAGCGAGAAAGAGTAAAATGAGTAGTAGGTTCCTAAATGATGGGATTGATTTTAGATGTCCCTTGTCCATTCCCCCTAAATATGGAACTAGCGTTAGTCTCTATGCTATAATGTGTCTGTGAATTTCTATAAGTCGCAAATGTCATCTATTCCGTATGGATTCTTTTCTCCAGCAGGAAATATATAAGCATAACATTCTACCATATCTTGGTTCTGTTGTCTTTTCACTTGACCATTAAAACTATTGTACTAATATATATTATGTTATTATTATGTTAATATCCCTTTCATTGTAAAGACACATTTAGCAGAAATGTTGTCACAATATCATCTGCAAACATTAATTGTCTTGTTCAGACAATGAGGATAACGACGATGATACGGATGAGGGAGAAGGAAAGCACGGAGGCATGTTCAGTCGTAAGTACATGTTTCGGTTTTTTTTGAGAATGCAAGAGCATTGGTTGGAAGCCAAAATGCAAGACGTTTCTGAACACAACATAAATGTTATATCACTCGTAATCGATATTTAAAATGTTAAGTCATACTATTCGTATTTATTTCGTGAAGTAGCATAAATATACTCATTAATGTACACGTCTGAGATGACTCTGTTGAACCTTGCATGTGTGTACTTTTCCATACAACCAGATTCATCAACTAAGGTATAAAAATGAGACCATAAATATTTTTCACCTCGTTCTGCACAAACTCTCCTCTCTGTGACTGAACATGAAATTTCCATAGGATTTCTCTATGAATATTTCAAACCAATTGTACTTGGTGGATAGAACAAAATTAGCACACATGTAATGATGTGTTTGTTGCAGGGATGATGAAAATGAGAAACCGAAGAAAGGAAGCAAGAAAGAGTAAAATGAGTAGTAGGTTCTTAAATGATGGGTTCGATTTTAGATGTCCCTTGTCCATTCCCCCTAAATATGGAACTAGCGTTAGTCTCTATGCTATAATGTGTCTGTGAATTTCTATAAGTCGCAAATGTCATCTATTCCGTATGGATTCTTTTCTCCAGCAGGAAATATATAAGCATAACATTCTACCATATCTTGGTTCTATTGTCTTTTCACTTGACCATTAAAACTATTATACTAATATATATTATGTTATTATTATGTTAATATCCCTTTCATTGTAAAGACACATTTAGCAGAAATGTTGTCACAATATCATCTGCAAACATTAATTGTCTTGTTCAGACAATGAGGATAACGACGATGATACGGACGAGGGAGAAGGAAAGCTCGGAGGCATGTTCAGTCGTAAGCACATGTTTCGGGTTTTTTTGAGAATGCAAGAGCATTGATTGGAAGCCAAAATGCAAGACGTTTCTGAACACAACATAAATGTTATATCACTCGTAATCGATATTTAAAATGTTAAGTCATACTATTCGTATTTATTTCGTGAAGTAGCATAAATATACTCATTAATGTACACGTCTGAGATGACTCTGTTGAACCTTGCATGTGTGTACTTTTCCATACAACCAGATTCATCAACTAAGGTATAAAAATGAGACCATAAATATTTTTCACCTCGTTCTGCACAAACTCTCCTCTCTGTGACTGAACATGAAATTTCCATAGGATTTCTCTATGAATATTTCAAACCAATTGTACTTGGTGGATAGAACAAAATTAGCACACATGTAATGATGTGTTTGTTGCAGGGATGATGAAAATGAGAAACCGAAGAAAGGAAGCAAGAAAGAGTAAAATGAGTAGTAGGTTCTTAAATGATGGGTTCGATTTTAGATGTCCCTTGTCCACTCCCCCTAAATATGGAACTAGCGTTAGTCTCTATGCTATAATGTGTCTGTGAATTTCTATAAGTCGCAAATGTCATCTATTCCGTATGGATTCTTTTCTCCAGCAGGAAATATATAAGCATAACATTCTACCATATCTTGGTTCTATTGTCTTTTCACTTGACCATTAAAACTATTATACTAATATATATTATGTTATTATTATGTTAATATGTCTTTCATTGTAAAGACACATTCAGCAGAAATGTTGTCACAATATCATCTGCAAACATTAATTGTCTTGTTCAGACAATGAGGATAACGACGATGATACGGACGAGGGAGAAGGAAAGCACGGAGGCATGTTCAGTCGTAAGTACATGTTTCGGGTTTTTTTGAGAATGCAAGAGCATTGATTGGAAGCCAAAATGCAAGACGTTTCTGAACACAACATAAATGTTATATCACTCGTAATCGATATTTAAAATGTTAAGTCATACTATTCGTATTTATTTCGTGAAGTAGCATAAATATACTCATTAATGTACACGTCTGAGATGACTCTGTTGAACCTTGCATGTGTGTACTTTTCTATACAACCAGATTCATCAACTAAGGTATAAAAATGAGACCATAAATATTTTTCACCTCGTTCTGCACAAACTCTCCTCTCTGTGACTGAACGTGAAATTTCTATAGGACTTCTGTATAATATGTTCAAAGCCTGTTGGGTGACAGAACAATATCATCACACATGTAATGATGTGTTTGTTGCAGGGATGAAGAAATGGAGAAACCGGAGAAAGAGTAAAATGAGTGGTGGGTTACTAAAGTATGATTTTACATGTCCCTTGACTGTTTCCCCATAACATGGGAACTGGCCTTAGTCTCTATATTGCATAGTATCTGTGAATTTCTATAAACCACAAACGTCATCTATTCCCTATGGATTTCTTTAGCAGGGAATATATAAGCATTTCTATTGTGCAACATTCTACCATATCTTCTTCCTATTGAATTTTATACTTCGTCTATGCACTGTGTCTTTTCACATGACCATTTAAACCATTCTATTATACCTTAGTAATATGTTATTATGTTAATATATGTCTTCCATTGTAAGGACACTTTTAGCAGAAATTCTGTCACAATATTATCTGCAACCATCAATTATCTTGTTCAGGCAACGATGATAACGACGATGATACGAACGAGGGAGAAGGAAAACACACTGGCATGTTCAGTCGTAAGTAAATGTTTATGTTTAATATGATTGAACATTGATTGGAAACCAGAAAGCATGACGTTTCTGAACACAACAGAAATGTTATATCATAGGTAACCAATGTATAAAACGTTTATCCATACAATTCGTATTTATTTCGTGAAGTAGCATAAATGTACACGTCTGAGATGACTGTTGAACCTTGCATGTATACGTAATTTTCCATACACCCTGATTCATCAACTAAGGTATAAAATGAGACCATAAATATATTTCACCTCGTTCTGCTCAAACTCTTCACTCTCTGACTGAACATGAATTCCCACAGGACTTCTCTTTCATAAGGTCTTAGCCTGTTGTACTTGGATGATAAAACAAAATCATGAAACATGTGGGAACATGAAATTAGAAACGGATTCGGGATTGGGGATTCGAATCATGAATCTGAATATTTTTTCCATATTCGGGATTCGAATCCCGAATCTGATTTTTTTTCAGATTCGGTATTTTTGCACATTGGACACTCGGCATTCGGTATTTGAACTCTTATATTTCATCCCCCTTCTAAAGTACTAGGTGCTCGTTGTATACCTGGGTAACTACAGTTTCCCATATTTTAACCTCAAATCTGAGTTTTCTCAACATTCGGGTTTCGGTATTTGAATCTCGAATCTGAATATTTTTTCAATATTCGGGATTCGAACGGCGTCCTTGTAACTATACTCTTTGCACCTTCATCTTATCTATCCTCGACGTTGCCGTGCACCCTGGAGATAGTTAACGGTCCTGAAGCACTTCCCTGATTGCAGGCATCAACCCTCGATGACGATCAAAGAAATACGTGGTCAATATTCATTATTTCATCCCCCTTCTTATGTACCAGGTGTTCGTTTTATACCTGGGTAACTTAAAAACATAAACAACCAAACTACAGTTTCCGACATTTGAACCTCAAATCTGAGTTTTCTCGACATTCGGGTTTCGGATTTTGTATTCCCGAATCTGAATATTTTTCAGATTCGGTATTTTTGCACATTCGACACTCGGCACTCGGCATTCGGCATTCGGTATATTGAACTCTTATATTTCATTCCCCTTCTAATGTACTAGGTGCTCGTTGTATACCTGGGTAACTTAAAAACATAAACAACCAATGCAGATCAGTATCCAGAGGAAGAGGGGATTAGACTCTCAGTTGCAAAAAGCCGAGAGAATGGAGAAAAGAAGTAAAGTTGTTCTGTCAGAAGTTCAATCCCATCCGTGGACAGAGGTAGAGCGCAATAGTGCAGTGGTAAGGCGTCAGCCTATCACGCTGAAGGCCCGGGTTCGATTCCCGGTGGAGGCACCTATGTTCGGGTCCCGAGGTGGGCACAGTTGCGTAGTATCCTTGGACATGATACTTAGATCCACATTGTCCCACTTCACCCAGCTGTAAAATGGGTACCCGTGAGGGTGTGCTGGCAATGTGAATGTTTAGTTCATTGCGCCTAACAGGCAGCATAGCTGTATGGTCCCCAGGGAGTTGAAATAGTATCGGAAAGTACGATAGTGTCCTATGACCGGGGATAGTAATGTACGTAGCGCCGTGAGCAGGCAATGTGCCTGGATATGAGCGCCATATAAGCGGACTATTACTATTACTATTACTATTACTATTAGAGCTGATCCCATTTATGACAGTGGCATATACACAAATGCTGTCAAAGCTGGTGTTTTATCTGGAAAATATTCTCGTAATTTCAATTTGATGTATGCGCCACAGCTCCGTACACCTTAGAGGATATGTCTACTGAAAAACTGGTCTCCTTACGCTTAGCAGTCCAGTTTTGGTCAGCCTGTGGTGGACATGGTTTTGTTAAGTGCAATTGTGCTGTCCAGAGTCAAGAGGTGCCAGACAAATAGATGCAAAATGCTACAAAGCTGGTGTAAAATGTAATTCAAGGTGCCACTCATCACTGTCTTGTCAAAATAAAAACTGAATTGATGTTCTCCAAACATGTTCATCATACTTTTCCTTATGCACATCATGTACATCTATTATGTTGAATAAAGATATCATTGTAACAAAGAAACGTCTCTTTCCTGCTTAATACAAAAGTCTAATTTCACATCTTTTGGGGAGAAATATACCTCAAACTACTCAAGTAGTGATTTCAGGGAATATGTCTAAAATTCTAGGACACTTTTCAGTGATTATGTATAATCCTTCCAAAGTTGTATATGTATACTAAGCAGCAAAAGAAACGTCAGTTTGGAATTTTCCTTCTCAGAAACGGATAACTGTGAACTCATTTAATGTTTTGATTGTATATTTTTGACAACATCTCCAACTTTACCTGAGCAAAGACATTCCTTCCCAAACTGAGAATGGAAACCAGGAAATGGTCTCAAAAACACAACATGATCTCGGAGATGGTACGGTGTTCTCCATGTTTTTCATGCAACTGCAACTGAAACATTCACATTACAACGTCAGCAGGATGCCGCGACTCACGACAGCTCAGAGGAACCAGGCGTTAGGAAGACTTAAAGCTGACCACACTGCACAGGCCGTTGCCAAACAGTTCCAGGTCAACGTCCGGACCATTTACAGGCTGCAGCAACGTTTCCGGGCCACCAACACTACAAATGATCGCCCCCGTACTGGCAGACCAAGGGTGACAACAAGACGACAAGACCGCCATGTTGTGCGACAGCATGTATAGAATCCCTTCATGCAGGCATCCGAAACAGCACGCCAGACAGGGGAAACACACGGAAGACCAATCAGTACTGATGCAGTACGTCGACGTCTTAACAGCGCGAACCTCAATTGCCGCAGACATTACCGTGGACCTATCCTCACCCCTCGTCATCGGCGTGAACGTCTACAGTTTGCCCAACAACACAAAAACTGGTGATACAGGCAATGGAGAACTGTTCTGTTCACAGATAAGAGTCGGTACTGCATATCAACTACAGATGGCAGAACAAGAATATGGCGCCGGGGTGGCCAGCGTTACTCAGACCAATGTGTTATGGAAAGAGACTCATGGGGAGGTGCAAGCATCATGGTATGGGGTGGAATAGGCCTGAACCAGAGAGTGGGTCCAGTGGTGTTCCAGAACCTTGGTCAAGGGAGAGGAGACCGCATCACAACGGTGCGCTTCATCGACCAAGCTCTAAGACCCCACGTCATACCACATTTCGCACGTCACCGGAACAACATTTTCCAGCATAATAACGCCCTGGCCCATACTGCCAGAGCTACACGGGGCTTCTTACAGCAGAACGGTGTCAACATTATGCATTGGCCAGCCCTTAGTCCTGATTTAAACCCAATTGAACATCTTTGGGATGGAATTCAGAGAAGACTGAATAATGTCATACTAAGGCCGAACACAGCCGATTTATTGCGCCAGGCCTTTCTCAGAGTGTGGTTCCAGGCTCCAGGGCCTTCATCAATCGATTGGTGCACTCCGTGCATAGACGCTGTGCTGCAGTTATTGCCGCTCGTGGTGGTCACACTAGATACTGAAGTCAAGGGTCTGAATGGACTGCAAACGTTGACGAAATCCCGAATATGAAAAACAAAAATTCAGATTCGGGATTCAAATAACGAATATGGAAAAAATATTCAGATTCGGGATTCAAATCCCGAAACCCGAATGTTGAGAAAACTCAGATTTGAGGTTCAAATATGGGAAACTATAGTTACCCAGGTATACAACGAGCACCTAGTACTTTAGAAGGGGGATGAAATATAAGAGTTCAAATACCGAATGCCGAGTGTCCAATGTGCAAAAATACCGAATCTGAAAAAAAATCAGATTCGGGATTCGAATCCCGAATATGGAAAATATATTCAGATTTGGGATTCAAATCCCGAAACCCGAATGTTGAGACAACTCAGATTTGAGGTTCAAATATGGGAAACTGTAGTTACCCAGGTATACAACGAGCACCTAGTACTTTAGAAGGGGGATGAAATATAAGAGTTCAAATACCGAATGCCGAGTGTCCAATGTGCAAAAATACCGAATCTGAAAAAAAATCAGATTCGGGATTCGAATCCCGAATATGGAAAAAATATTCAGATTTGGGATTCAAATCCCGAAACCCAAATGTTGAGACAACTCAGATTTGAGGTTCAAATATGGGAAAACTGTAGTTACCCAGGTATACAACGAGCACCTAGTACTTTAGAAGGGGGATGAAATATAAGAGTTCAAATACCGAATGCCGAGTGTCCAATGTGCAAAAATCCCGAATATGAAATTTTTTTTTAGATTTGGGATTCGAATCCCCAATCCCAAATCCCCAATCCGTTTCTAACTTCATGTTGCTCAAACATGTATGATGTGCTTGTTGCAGGTTTCAGGAAAATGAGAAATCGGAGAAAAGAGGCGAGAAACGATGATACGGACGAGGGAGAAGGAAAGCACCGAGGCATGTTCAGTCGTAAGTACGTTTATGTTTAAAATTACCGAGAATGCTAGAGCACTGATTGGAAACTAGAATTTGTGACTTTTCCAAACTCAACAGATGTGTTACATTACAGGTAACGGATGTGCGAAGATGTTTTCTCCAACGCGAAACAAATAATTGTTTCTTAATCATTACAGTTTATCATACCCTTCCTATCGCTATTATTTCTTTGCATTCCTAGATCGCGTGTTTTCACTTGATATCCCTGCTTTCGCAGTCAAAGAGTTGTTCAGCGATAATTATTCTTATTTATAACAGCAGTAATTGTGCTATGATATGAAGATATGGCCGAAATCTTTCTGATCTTGCGTTTACCATTCGCCGTCATGATGTGTACTAAAACTGATACAAACGTTTGTAAAGGACAGTGCAGTTGTCTTGCCCAGATACTGTAGGTTAACGAAAATGATGCTAACAATATTCAGCCCAAGGTAATTGTTTATGCTTAAAATGTTAGAGAATGTTAAAACCTCGACTAAAATTCAGAGGACATGTCAGATGCATTAAATAACTAAACGTACGTTAGATGACATCAAACTGTATTTATATTGTCAGAATTAATCGAGTTAATTTTTCCATTACGTTTTAAAAAGTAAGACGCACAAGTGCGTCTCACGCCGAAGAAGAGGTACTTCTTTTGACGCATATACGCGTCACTCGCCGTGAGGAGCTAATTAATTTGTCGCACATATGCGTCTCTCGGCCTTAATGAGCTAAGCAACGTTTTTAAGACTAACAGATTCATTTTATTCTTCTAGCATTAAGTCTTCAAATGAGATGTCTGAGTAATAAATTTGAAAATGATTTTTTTTCTGTTTAGTATCATTAAAAGGTTTCCGTAATAACTGCACTCTGCTTCGTCAAAACATGCGTATATTTATCTTAATGATCTTATCTTAATGTGCAATTTGTGTTAATCTGTATTTACTATGTGTATTTTACCACATCTATTTTGTCTTGTCAAACCTTTCATACAAAACAATTTTTTCTTTGAGATAATAAAGTATTATTCTATTCTCTATAAATATAGTCACAGCTTACTCTACCTTGTTTATAGAACAAAATCACCGTTCATGGAGATATTGTTTTTTGCAGGGTTCAAGGAAAAGATGAAAAAGTCAGGGATGAGGGACAAACTAAGTGGTAAGCTACCAAGTACCATTTCATGCCCCTGACAGTGCAGTTTCCCGGTCTTCTTTATTTCAGTACTTAATAAGGCCACAGGCATATAGTACATTACAATACAAAATATACAGTCAGACAAAGTATAAAAATATAATTAAAATTGTAAAAGATCACCTAGCTAAATTGCAGAGTGTCATTTTTGTATCTATGTTAAATCTGTACATGAAGGCATGATAAATGAACATAGCTAAATCTGGCAGAACTTTCCTATTTGTATTTCATAACGGTAAATAATCAGTTAAATTTGGGTATGTAAAGAAATAAGATTGCAGATACCCTTCTCTAATTATAAGTTGTGAGTAAACAGAGCATACAAGTAGAAACTTATAATCATCTTCAACTAACTATAACTTACAAAGATTGCAAGGCAGTTTTCATTGAACCAACGGAATAAGTCAAACTTTCCTTTTCTTGTTTCTGTTGATTTCTGTACATTTCTGAGGTCACTCAATTCTTTGCAAGGACAATGAATCGAGTATTGATATCATTATCATTCCCTGTCGGAAATTTCCCCATGTTTCTATTGTCATTGGGGATGGGAGTGGGAGTGGGATAAACGTGATGGTGAAAATGTCCGCTCGTTACACTGACGACACGCGGTACAATGTGTGAAGCCCATTTATGGTATCCCCCACTATGATATTGTCTATACTACGTCAGTCGTTCCTGTCTGCAGCTACTGGACGACATTCATTCAGACCAAGCGTCAACAGCCTCCTTCCGATTGTACAGGTGGGGAGTCGGACTCCCACGTTCCTTTGATGCCACACATTTTGGCATGGGTCATCTGATTGCGTCCGACTTGACATCACTACCATTGATATTCTTCACTCTTCGTTCTCAGAAATTGACTAATAACCGCGTGCTTTATGTTCAATGTTGCTAGAATGCGACAGGATATCCCTGCGTCTATGATGCCAAAACCTTACCATCGGCTATCATTCCAGTAAATTACCATCGTGTTGTTTCTTTCTGAGGACCTGCGTCTATCATTCCAGTAAATTACCATTGTGTTGTTTCTTTCTGAGGACCTGCGTCTATCATTCCAGTAAATAACCATCATGTTGTTTCTTTCTGAGGATCTGCGTCTATCATTCCAGTAACTCACCATCGTGTTGTTTCTTTCTGAGGATCTGCGTCTATCATTCCAGTACCTTACCATCGTGTTGTTTCTTTCTGAGAACCTGCGTCTATCATTCCAGTAACTTACCATGGTGTTGTTTCTTTCTGAGAACCTGAGTCTATCATTCCAGTAACTTACAATTGTGTTGTTTCTTTCTGAGGACATGCGTCTATCTTGCTAGTAAATAAGCATCGTGTTGTTTCTTTCTGAGGACATGCGTCTATCTTGCTTGTAAATTAGCATCGTGTTGTTTCTTTCTGAGGACCTGTGTCTATCATGCCAGTAGCTCATCATCGTGTTGTTTCTATCTGAAGAACTGCGTCTATCATTCCAGTAACTTACCATCGTGTTGTTTCTTTCTGAGGACCTGCGTCTATCATTCCAGTAAATTACCATCGTGTTGTTTCTTTCTGAGGACCTGCGTCTATCATGCCAGTAACTCACCATCGTGTTGTTTCTTTCTGAGGATCTGCGTCTATCTTGCCAGTAACTTACCATCGTGTTGTTTGTTTCTGAGGACCTGATGTCTATCTTGCCAGTAACTTACCATTGTGTTGTTTCTTTCTGGGGACCTGCGTCTATCATTCCAGGAAAATACCATCGTGTTGTTTCTTTCTGAGGACCTGCGTCTATCATGTCAGTAACGTACCATCGTGTTGTTTTTATCTGGGGATCTGCGTCTATCATGCAGTTACTTACCATCGTGTTGTTTCTTTCTGAGGATCTGCGACTATTATGTCAGTAACGTACCATCGTGTTGTTTCTTTCTGCGGATCTGCGTCTATTATGTCAGTAACTCACCATCGTGTTGTTTCTTTCTGAAGACCTGCGTCTATCTATCCTGTAACTTACCATCGTGTTGTTTCTATCTGAGGACCTGCGTATCATTAAAAGGTTTCCGTAATAACTGCACTCTGCTTCTTCAAAACACGCGTATATTTATCTTAATGATCTTATCTTAATGTGCAATTTGTGTTAATCTGTATTTACTATGTGTATTTTACCACATCTATTTTGTCTTGTCAAACCTTTCATACAAAACAATTTTTTCTTTGAGATAATAAAGTATTATTCTATTCTCTATAAATATAGTCACAGCTTACTCTACCTTGTTTATAGAACAAAATCACCGTTCATGGAGATATTGTTTTTTGCAGGGTTCAAGGAAAAGATGAAAAAGTCAGGGATGAGGGACAAACTAAGTGGTAAGCTACCAAGTACCATTTCCTGCCCCTGACAGTGCAGTTTCCCGGTCTTCTTTATTTCAGTACTTAATAAGGCCACAGGCATATAGTACATTACAATACAAAATATACAGTCAGACAAAGTATAAAAATATAATTAAAATTGTAAAAGATCACCTAGCTAAATTGCAGAGTGTCATTTTGCATCTATGTTAAATCTGTACATGAAGGCATGATAAATGAACATAGCTAAATCTTGAAGAACTTTCCTATTTGTATTTCATAACAGTAAATAATCAGTTAAATTTGGGTATGTAAAGAAATAAGATTGCAGATACCCTTCTCTAATTATAAGTTGTGAGTAAACAGAGCATACAAGTAGAAACTTATAATCATCTTCACCTAACTATAACTTACAAAGATTGCAAGGCAGTTTTCATTGAACCAACGGAATAAGTCAAACTTTCCTTTTCTTGTTTCTGTTGATTTCTGTACATTTCTGAGGTCACTCAATTCTTTGCAAGGACAATGAATCGAGTATTGATATCATTATCATTCCCTGTCGGAAATTTCCCCATGTTTCTATTGTCATTGGGGATGGGAGTGGGAGTGGGATAAACGTGATGGTGAAAATGTCCGCTCGTTACACTGACGACACGGGGTACAATGTGTGAAGCCCATTTATGGTATCCCCCACTATGATATTGTCTATACTACGTCAGTCGTTCCTGTCTGCAGCTACTGGACGACATTCATTCAGACCAAGCGTCAACAGCCTCCTTCCGATTGTACAGGTGGGGAGTCGGACTCCCACGTTCCTTTCATGCCACACATTTTGGCATGGGTCATCTGATTGCGTCCGACTTGACATCACTACCATTGATATTCTTCACTCTTCGTTCTCAGAAATTGACTAATAACCGCGTGCTTTATGTTCAATGTTGCTAGAATGCGACAGGATATCCCTGCGTCTATGATGCCAAAAACTTACCATCGTGTTGTTTCTTTCTGAAGGTCTGTCTCTATCATTCCAGTAAATTACAATCGTGTTGTTTCTTTCTGAGGACCTGCGTCTATCATGCCAGTAAATTAGCATCGTGTTGTTTCTTTCTCAAGGTCTGTGTCTATCATTCCAGTAAATTACCATTGTGTTGTTTCTTTCTGAAGGTCTGTGTCTATCATTCCAGTAAATTACCATCGTGTTGTTTCTTTCTGAGGACCTGCGTCTATTTTGCCAGTAACGTACCATCATGTTGTTTCTTTCTGAAGGTCTGTGTCTATCATTCCAGTAACTTACCATGGTGTTGTTTATTTTTGAGGACCTGTGTCTATCTTGCCAGTAACTTACCATCGTGTTGTTTCTTTCTGAGGACCTGCGTCTATCATTCCAGTAACTTACCATCGTGTTGTTTCTTTCTGAGAACCTGAGTCTATCATTCCAGTTACTTACAATTGTGTTGTTTCTTTCTGAGGACCGGCGTCTATCTTGCTAGTAAATAAGCATCGTGTTGTTTCTTTCTGAGGACATGCGTCTATCTTGCTTGTAAATTAGCATCGTGTTGTTTTTTTCTGAGGACCTGTGTCTATCATGCCAGTAGCTCATCATCGTGTTGTTTCTATCTGAAGAACTGCGTCTATCATTCCAGTAACGTACCATCGTGTTGTTTCTTTCTGAGGACCTGCGTCTATTTTGCTAGTAACTTACCATTGTGTTGGTTCTTTCTGAGGACCGGCGTCTATCAAGCCAGTAACTTACCATCGTGTTGTTTCTTTCTGAGGACCTGCGTCTATCTTGCCAGTAACTTACCATCGTGTTGTTTCTTTCTGAGGACCTGCGTCTATCATTCCAGTAACTTACCATCGTGTTGTTTCTTTCTGAGAACCTGAGTCTATCATTCCAGTTACTTACAATTGTGTTGTTTCTTTCTGAGGACCTGCGTCTATGTTGCTAGTAAATAAGCATCGTGTTGTTTCTTTCTGAGGACATGCGTCTATCTTGCTTGTAAATTAGCATCGTGTTGTTTTTTTCTGAGGACCTGTGTCTATCATGCCAGTAGCTCATCATCGTGTTGTTTCTATCTGAAGAACTGCGTCTATCATTCCAGTAACGTACCATCGTGTTGTTTCTTTCTGAGGACCTGCGTCTATTTTGCTAGTAACTTACCATTGTGTTGGTTCTTTCTGAGGACCGGCGTCTATCAAGCCAGTAACTTACCATCGTGTTGTTTCTTTCTGAGGACCTGCGTCTATCATTCCAGTAACTTACCATTGTGTTGTTTCTTTCTGAGAACCTGAGTCTATCATTCCAGTAACTTACAATTGTGTTGTTTCTTTCTGGGGACCTGCGTCTATCATTCCAGGAAATTACCATCGTGTTGTTCCTTTCTGAGGACCTGCGTCTATCATGTCAGTAACGTACCATCGTGTTGTTTTTATCTGAGGATCTGCGTCTATCATGCAGTTACTTACCATCGTGTTGTTTCTTTCTGAGGATCTGCGTCTAATATGTCAGTAACGTACCATCGGGTTGTTTCTTTCTGCGGATCTGCGCCTATTATGTCAGTAACTCACCATCGTGTTGTTTCTTTCTGAAGTCCTGCGTCTATCTATCCTGTAACTTACCATCGTGTTGTTTCTATCTGAGGACCTGCGTATCATTAAAAGGTTTCCGTAATAACTGCACTCTGCTTCTTCAAAACATGCGTATATTTATCTTAATGATCTTATCTTAATGTGCAATTTGTGTTAATCTGTATTTACTATGTGTATTTTACCACATCTATTTTGTCTTGTCAAACCTTTCATACAAAACAATTTTTTCTTTGAGATAATAAAGTATTATTCTATTCTCTATAAATATAGTCACAGCTTACTCTACCTTGTTTATAGAACAAAATCACCGTTCATGGATATATTGTTTTTTGCAGGGTTCAAGGAAAAGATGAAAAAGTCAGGGATGAGGGACAAACTAAGTGGTAAGCTACCAAGTACCATTTCCTGCCCCTGACAGTGCAGTTTCTCGGTCTTCTTTATTTCAGTATTTAATAAGGCCACAGGCATATAGTACATTACAATACAAAATATACAGTCAGACAAAGTATAAAAATATAATTAAAATTGTAAAAGATCACCTAGCTAAATTGCAGAGTGTCATTTTTGTATCTATGTTAAATCTGTACATGAAGGCATGATAAATGAACATAGCTAAATCTTGAAGAACTTTCCTATTTGTATTTCATAACGGTAAATAATCAGTTAAATTTGGGTATGTAAAGAAATAAGATTGCAGATACCCTTCTCTAATTATAAGTTGTGAGTAAACAGAGCATACAAGTAGAAACTTATAATCATCTTCACCTAACTATAACTTACAAAGATTGCAAGGCAGTTTTCATTGAACCAACGGAATAAGTCAAACTTTCCTTTTCTTGTTTCTGTTGATTTCTGTACATTTCTGAGGTCACTCAATTCTTTGCAAGGACAATGAATCGAGTATTGATATCATTATCATTCCCTGTCGGAAATTTCCCCATGTTTCTATTGTCATTGGGGATGGGAGTGGGAGTGGGATAAACGTGATGGTGAAAATGTCCGCTCGTTACACTGACGACACAGGGTACAATGTGTGAAGCCCATTTATGGTATCCCCCACTATGATATTGTCTATACTACGTCAGTCGTTCCTGTCTGCAGCTACTGGACGACATTCATTCAGACCAAGCGTCAACAGCCTCCTTCCGATTGTACAGGTGGAGAGTCGGACTCCCACGTTCCTTTCATGCCACACATTTTGGCATGGGTCATCTGATTGGGTCCGACTTGACATCACTACCATTGATATTCTTCACTCTTCGTTCTCAGAAATTGACTAATAACCGCGTGCTTTATGTTCAATGTTGCTAGAATGCGACAGGATATCCCTGCGTCTATGATGCCAAAACCTTACCATCGGCTATCATTCCAGTAAATTACCATCGTGTTGTTTCTTTCTGAGGACCTGTGTCTATCATGCCAGTAACTCACCATCGTGTTGTTTCTTTCTGAGGATCTGCGTCTATCTTGCCGGTAACTTACCATTGTGTTGTTTCTTTCAGTGGACATGCGTCTATCATTCCAGTAAATTACCATCGTGTTGTTTCTTTCTGAGGATCTGTGTCTATCATTCCAGTAAATTACCATCGTGTTGTTTCTTTCTGAGGACCTGCGTCTATCATTCCAGTAACTTACCATTGTGTTGTTTCTTTCTGAGAACCTGAGTCTATCATTCCAGTAACTTACAATTGTGTTGTTTCTTTCTGAGGACCTGCGTCTATGTTGCTAGTAAATAAGCATCGTGTTGTTTCTTTCTGAGGACATGCGTCTATCTTGCTTGTAAATTAGCATCGTGTTGTTTCTTTCTGAGGACCTGTGTCTATCATGCCAGTAGCTCATCATCGTGTTGTTTCTATCTGAAGAACTGCGTCTATCATTCCAGTAACTTACCATCGTGTTGTTTCTTTCTGAGGACCTGCGTCTATCATTCCAGGAAATTACCATCGTGTTGTTTCTTTCTGAGGACCTGCGTCTATCATGCCAGTAACTTACCATCGTGTTGTTTCTTTCTGAGGACCTGTGTCTATCATGCCAGTAGCTCATCATCGTGTTGTTTCTATCTGAATAACTGCGTCTATCATTCCAGTAACTTACCATCGTGTTGTTTCTTTCTGAGGACCTGCGTCTATCATTCCAGGAAATTACCATCGTGTTGTTTCTTTCTGAGGATCTGCGTCTATCTTGCCGGTAACTTACCATTGTGTTGTTTGTTTCTGAGGACTTGTGTCTATCATTCCAGTAAATTACCATCGTGTTGTTTCTTTCTGAGGACCTGTGTCTATCATTCCAGTAAATTAGCATCGTGTTGTTTCTTTCTGAGGACCTGCGTCTATCATGCCAGTAACTCACCATCGTGTTGTTTCTTTCTGAGGATCTGCGTCTATCTTGCCAGTAACTTACCATGGTGTTGTTTGTTTCTGAGGACCTGCGTCTATCTTGCCAGTAACTTACCATTGTGTTGTTTCTTTCTGAGGACCGGAGTTTATCGTTCCAGTAACTTATCATTGTGTTGTTTCTTTCTGAGGACCGGAGTCTATCATGTCAGTAAATTAGCATCGTGTTGTTTCTTTCTGAGGACCTGCGTCTATTATTCGAGTAAATTACCATCGTGTTTTTTCTTTCTGAGGACCTGCGTCTATCATTCCAGTAAATTATCATCGTTTTGTTTCTATCTGAGGACCTGCATCTATTTATCCTGTAACTTACCATCGTGTTGTTTCTTTCTGACTTTCTGCGTCTATCATGGCAGTAGCTTACCATCGTGTTGTTTCTTTCTGAAGACCTGCGTCTTGCCAAGCAAGAATAATTTTCTTCCTATAGATGAAATATTCACACTAGGTGCCAATGTTGATACTCATTTTCACTGTAAGAACCCTTATTGGCTAAGTGTTTTGAAGGCTTGGGCAATCTATGTAAGCATAGAAAAAGAAATTTCTCCTTAATATTAACGATATTGTCCGAACCCTTATGGCTCAATCATCATTTTAAATATAAAACCTTTTTGATTAAACAATGGTATAGTAAAGGAATGTATTTTGTAAGACACATGTAGCAATAGTGGTCTAATAACTTTTGTTGAACTGAAGAATGTTTTTGATATTAGCGGCACGTTTTTAGATTATCATAAATTACTATGCTGCATTCCTCCTAGTTGGAAAAATTGTATCAATGACCAAACATGTATCAATAATTCCAATATGGTGATTAGTAATAACCTAACAGACTTTCTCAAACCTGGTAAGGGTTCTAGATTTTTCTATAATAACATTATTGCTTGTGACTAGTTTCCACCTGTGTGTAACAAATGGGTTGAAAACTTCAATGTGGTTTTTCCTCACTGGAAAGATATATTTCGTCGTTATAGGTATTGCACCAAGGATGTAAAACTACTAGAATTCCAATTTAAATTCTTACATCGCATAATCTACAAGAAGAAACTAAAACAGATGAAACTAGTGAACGAGGATATTTGCTCATTCTGTAAAACTAATAGTGAAAGCTTGTCACATGTTTTTCTCGAATGCAAGCATGTAAAAACATTCTGGTTGAGTGTGGAATTATACTTCAACTCTTTTCTCAATGAAGAAATAAATGTGGACGCTTGAGCTATTCTTTTTGGTTTCCCAGCCAAATTTAAGTTAATTAACCACTTTCTCTTGTTATGTAAAAGACATGTATTCTCAAGTAGTCTTAAAAGTACAACCCTTTCAGTTGAAACAGTAATAAAAATGTTCAAACAGATATACTTTATTGAAAAATTCATTGCCCGCAAGAATAATAGATAGGCTGCGTTTGAAAAAAATGGCTTCCTCTGTCAGACATTTATGAAGAAGTCACCTGATTTTTTTATTATAACAATTTTTAAAAATCTCACTTACATTCCATGATGTCTGTGCCATTCGCTTTGAGCATATTTGCCATAACCCTTTAACAGTATACATACACTTTGACAGTGATTTGTTAGCCAATCGTTCACGCCGAAGACCCGGGTTCGAATCCCCACATGGGTACAATGTGTGAAGCCCATTTCTGGTGTTCCCCGCCGTGATGTTGCTGGAATATTGCTAAAAGCGGCGTAAAACCAAACTCAGTCAGTCAGCAGTGTTAGCCAATCGTAACTTAACCCTTGTCGTAAGGCCTACTGTGTTTACACCCATTTGTATCTGAACATTGTCATTGTCATTGAACTCAGAACTGTTGCTCATTCGCTACTCATTTGATTCCATTGTCAATGATTTCACCCCTGCTTGTAACCTGATTTGCTGGAATAAATAAAAGTAAAGAAGAAGAAAAAAGAATAATTTTCAGAAAACTGTAGTGAACATACTGCAATTACGACATGTATACCCAATTGTGCTTCGTCGTGTGCTTAGCAGCACGAGAACATCAGACCCATTGCTAGTGAGATATTGTCTGAAGCACGTTCTTTGCATATGCACTTGTGTATGCTAAGGTATGACCGCCTATTTGGACCAATATTTTAAATATTGCCCTTGGATTGGAGTGGTGCTTAATCAATGCTTTTGTGTATATGATCATAGGCGGCTCCACATGGATAAAAGGACATAATCATCACACATCTCATATTATGTTTGTTGCAGGGATGAAGAATATGTTCAAAAGCTTTGGGGCAAAGATGAAGAATAAAATGCGGGGTGAACTTCTCGTGTACTACTTAACAAAACCCATGTCTTTTTACCTCGCTTCATAGGAATTTGTTAAAGTCCACTGTCTGTGCATTTTTAAAATTTCAAATATTTTTAAGTGTATTGGCCTTTTTCACTTATTTGTCAAATTCACTTCACGGGTTACTCATACAGTGGAAGTGTGTACATCTAGCTTTAGCATTCTGTAATTACAAGCACATGTCTGTCTTAAAATTGTTAGCATGTGTCTCTTTTTAAAAGTTGACATCCATAGTGAGTGAGTATAGCGTTACGCCGATTTTAGCAATTTTCCAGCAATATCACGACAATGGGCTTCAAACATTGTACCCATGTGGGGAATCGAACCCAGGTCTTCGGCGTGACGAGCGAAGGCTTTAACCATTAGACTACCCCAACGCCCCTGTAGCACTTGAACCTTTGAGATTACTAAGCCTGCCATAGAAATATATAATAGTATCATCTTCAAACATTTTTTAAACAGAAAGCGAAGAAACCCTTTCCATTTTCGTAAGAAATCTCCGCTAAATGCAGAACCGAGTGTACAGTTTTTACTTTATCACTCCAAGAGTTTGTTTGACGTTGCATTCAGCAGTATTCAAGCTGCACAACGCGGCCTACAAACCATCGAGTCTGGACCAGACAATTAAGTGATTAACACTATGAGATATTCAAGCACATTATAATTGTTTGTTGCAGGTACAAATGGTGATGAGGGAGATAACTAGCTGAAGCGAAGGTGTTGCAGAATGTTTGAACGGCAAGGTGTGAAGTTCATATTAAATAATTGTGCATGTCCAAATTCATGATAACAAAGATTGTATTGCAGGTAGGCCTGTTATCGACTAAGAATAACTTAGCACTGTCAAAGGGCTTTCTGTCAGCTGAGACTGCCTGCCTGTGACTACCTATTTAATATTTTCTTTTCTTCTTTTACCGCGACAGTGTAGTATTTGGAACCCATGAAGATCCAGGTTAGAATTGATCTTCAGCAACCCCTGCTTGTCGTAACAGGAATCACATGTCATCGTATCCCAAATGCGTAGGTCGGTGCTCATGGTGTTGATCACTGGATTGTCTGGTCCAGACTTGATTATTTACATACCGCCGCCATATAGCTGGAATATTGCTGAGTGCGGCGTTAAACAAGAACTATCCAACCATCCATCTTTTATCTGGTCTGCTATCAATCAGCACTGAACCACTGAACGAGCTATAACATAAGAACATCATACTTTGTCCTTCAAAATGCCCTAAATGTAACATTAGAGAAAAGCATTTTGTTGGCAAACCGTAGAACTGGGTTATGCTTACTGCCTACCACAACCGTATTGCATAATGTACTGTCATGAAATAAGATGTTTTTTGTTTGTTTCAGAAACACACCAAGAAATCAGCATTACTGGTGAAAACTGATAATTGAAGGACATAAATAAATGCAGCAATACAATTAACATCCGAGTTTCTCTGTTTCGAGCAAAGCGCGACATGACTTGCAAATTACATCAGAAAAATAACCTTCATTCAAAGAAAAAGAAAAACATCATCGCTTCCCTTTACTTGTCCTTAACCCAATATCCTTCACTGTCGTTCATGCTGTCAACCACTTGTTCTGTTTGGTCTGGATTTCAAAAGCGATTGGATAAGTTTTTCTGCAGTTTTGCGATCTTGCAGTATTATCTTACGACAGCAGATTTATACAAAGAATGCATTCTAGACTTTAAAAAGTCGTCTGCTCATGTAATCAGCAGCCATTGTTTCCACAGCAGCCATTGTTTCCATTATACATGACACCCGTGAAGATCCGGGTTAGAATTGATTTTCAGTAACCCATGCTTGTCGTAAGAGGCGACTAACGGGATCGGGTGGTCGGGCTCGCTGACTTGGTTGACACATGTAATCGTATCCCAATTTCGGAGATCGATGCTCATGCTATTGATCACTGGATTGTCTGGTCCAGACTCCATTATTTACAGACCGCCGCCATATCGCTGGAATATTGCAGACCGCGGCGGTAAACAACCAACCAACCAACCAACACTATACATGAAAATCTATACAAGACAGTAAAGTTTGCGAAACAGCACGACTGGGCCATGCCATGCCTCTTCTGCCTTGCTCAATATTACTAGAAGCGGCGTAAAATGATACACATGTCACACCTCAAGAAAATTACATACCGTGATGTTTGCAAATTTCAGAGGAAGACATTTTATCAGCAATGTTTTACCCATCGGATAGAACAAAACATGTTTTCACTCGTTTTTGTTTAGTAACTATTACAAGCTCCATAAATAACTGGAACACAAGCGATACACAGTTTTGAGTTGATGGTAAATCAATCCTGTTCGTTCGGTGCATTGCTATTACCAGTAAGTGCTTCAGAGACCATTTTCATTTAGCTAACACGTCACACTTTAATTCTGGAAACTCTGGAAACTCAGACACTCTCCCACTGTGGCCAGTTCCTGACAAAGGCAACATTCAACATGCAGTTGTCATGAATATAGGCTGAGGATGAACAAATGAAAATAAAAATTGAAATAAAAATTACCTCGTTTGTTGGCGAGAATGTTTACGTTTGCTCAAACATATTTTTTGAAGGTTGTATATGAATGAAAATATATTTAAAATTAACATGACGCAAAATTCAACTCTTTTTAACTTAATTCGGCTAGAACGCTACTAAAACACCTAGTCGTTACAGTACCGTGTTTTCGACTTTTGAGACACATTTTGTCACCAGAGGGCGCCTGTCTCAATCCATAATACCATTCAAACCAAACCATTTACAACAGACCAATTGGCGTATTAATCAGTTTCTGTCATGTATATTATGAAGCAGAAGGTTTTTTGATCATGGAACAAAAGACTTGAATGAGTGAGTGATCGAGCGGAGAATTTTACGCCGCCAATTTCCCGGCAATATCACGGCGGGGACACCAGAAATGGGTTTCACATATTGTAAACCTATTTAACCACTAGGCTAACACACACACACACACACACACACACACACACACACACACACACACACACACACACACACACACACACACACACACACACACACACACACACACACACACACACACACACACACACACACACACACACACACACACACACACACACACACACACACACAAAGGCTTGAAAAACATGTATGCTGTTCATTCACGAGAAAACAGCAACCTCTTAAACTTGGGTTTAACATTACACAACATACTCTTAGGTCATGCCTGGTTTTAATTATATAATGTTAAAAGTCCAAAACGTTGGTTTCTGGTTCAAGTCAATCATTCAAAACGAAGAGCCGGCATGAGAAAATGTGTAGTCGTTGAAGATCATGATTGAATGCAGAATGACAGAAGTGCTTTGTTTGGGTGGGACAAGCGTTTAATTTGACATTCAAAGGTTAACCAAGAATCGGTTCGGATAGAACTGCATGTACATTGTGATGTAAGTCACATAAGGACATTAATGGAAGACATAAGGCCAATGCTTAATTGAAACATTCAGATTCAGGTTAAAGTCAGCACAATGGATTAAATAAGTGACAGCAGCAGTAATTCGTCCAAGAATATGTGACATTACGCTCCCGAATGTCCATTGTCTAGATGTCTCACCACCCGTGTCTATTCCAGACTCGGTTATTTATAGCCCGCCGCCATGTAGCTGGAATATTGCTGGATGCGGCGTTAAACAACAAACAAAATATATACGATTAGAAAATACACAAAGGTAAATATTTGCCAATCATAATATCATTACAGAAATACTTGAAGACAAATTCATTTCTTTGACTATTCACAATAGTACCTTCGATGATATCTCACATATTGGGAAACCACACACCAATCATTTAGGGAACGAAGAGCAATATTGTTTGAGGAAGTTAATCGATATCTTTGTAAAATACGTTCCTCAAATGGATATCAACAGGAACAATGGAATACAACTACGACATAGCTTTACAATGAATTCAGCTGCCTCATCACAATGAATAGTGTTGAAAATGAGATCATTATCCAAACGATGTTTCCATCAGTGCTGCAATGTCAATCCATTGTTCAACACTGTCACACAGCAATACATTAGAGAGAACGTTCCACAGATTACATGGCCATGAACAATGACAATCAATATCTGAAACGAACATTGTTGTTCAATTGTTTGAATTCACTTGGGACACGGGATCATGTAGGTCATTGTCTGTCCTCTGGCCTTAACTGTCGCGTACCAGAGTAATTTTGATCACGGCTTTGTGTCAGCTTACATTGTATTATATGACTTTAGTTATAGTGTTTTAGTGATTGAACGTCACTTTGAACGCCGTTTCAGTAATATGTCACCTTGATATGGGTGAGTGAGTGAGTTTTGTTTTAAGCCGCTTTTAGCAATATTCCAGCAATAGCATGGCGTGGGACACCAGGAATGGGTATCACACATTGTACCCATGATGGGAATCGAACTCGGGCCTTCGACGTGACGAGCGAATGCTTTAACCACAAGGCTACCCCACCGCCCCTTCTTTGATATGGGATGAAAAGTTTAATCGATGCAGTCTACGACTTTTACCACTGGCATGCCGCTGACAAACACACAAAATATATTTGGGCGAATCTGGGATTTGAACCAACGATCATGGTTTTCTGACTATGTACAGACAAATGCACGTTTTAGACGCCATGTGGTTATTTTTCAAGCCATTCAAGTACACGATATTCTATTTTAATAGAAGCATATTTTCAGTAGCGTTGTGTATCCAAAACGCTCTCGACAACGAATGTTGATCTCGGAGACGTACAGGTGACAGAGTTTGGCAGCTCAGGTCTGGAGGGTTGATGAAGTATTGGTCCCACACTGAAGAACATTATTATTAGTTTTACACTTTAACATAAAATGCATCAGAGAGTGATCGGGTGGTCCTGGCACAATGAACCGGTAAGGTTCCTCGTCAGCTAGGGTTCTTGGTCCCTCCACACGCAGCATTTACTCTGAATGGGACTTCTCCCACTATTTGCTGACAAGTCAAACATATCAAGAACTTTTCGGATAATGAGGATCACCAACACTGCAGCCATCTGCATTACCCATAGGAGCAAAAGGACTGTGTTCCTGGAAGCAAATCCAGGCACTTTCCAAATATCAGGCATGAGATTGGTAGGTACCAAACCGAAGGCACCAAGAACAGTGGGGATTCGAAAACCCTAGCACTTGGAATGATAACGTGAGATTTCATAAACGAGTCTGCATATGTTTTTCCTGAATCTTGTCAATTACATTACTGTCTAAAATTCAATGATGCAATTAATTTCATTGCTTTTATTAGTTTTTTAAAGAAAAAAATAACAAGATCAGGTTTGTTGACTAGGATACGCCTGAGGCTGTATACGGGCCTATTAAGAAGAAGTTTATATTTGGCATATTCCATGATCCACTCTACATATTCTCGTAAAATGTATTGACCTCTCAGTCAAAACCACAAGCATTGCGCAGAGTGTGATAAAAGGGCCCAGTCATCATCATGTGTCAGTGGGACTGCTGGGCATCAAATGGCATGCTGAGGGAAAGCCTCATTAAATTCATCATATAATCTGTATTATAAACATTTTGTTATAAAAAAACAAACGGTGGTTTTGAGTTGGAAGTGACTGGTCATGATTAGCAGTGTGTGAGTGAATGAGTTTAGTTTTATGCAGCACTCAGCAATATTCTACCTTTATGGCGGCGGTTGTAAATCATCGAGTCTGGACCAGACAATCCAGTGATCAACAGCATGAACATCGATCTGCGCAATTTGGATACGATGACATGTGTCAACCAAGCCAGCAAGCTTGACCACCCGATCCCGTTTGTCACCTTTTTACGACAAGCCAGGGGTCCTGAAGGCCAATTCTAACCCGGATCTCATGAGTAACAGCCAGAAACCCTTCTGTTTCACATTTCAGGACAGCTAGCTTCATCCAAGGGACGAGTTCAGCAAGGTTGCTCTTCACCTTACCGCATCGCACCCGAACTCGGTGGAGCGGCCGTTCAGAGAGTATCCTTTGAGAAACTAGGTCTGTGCTGTTTGATATTGCACTTCCTTGAATGACAATCATTTCTGTGGTACCGAACCCATCAACAAAACCAACAATGTCTCTGAGATTGGCATGCTTTACAAGAGACACATCAGACAAATGAATGTACAAAAGTGCTAAAATTATGAAATTATGTCATGAAGTCCCTCCAAGTTATATATATAGATAGATAGATAGATATAGATAGATATAGATATATATATAATCGAGTGTTGTGAGCACACTAGTCTGACCTGATTCTCCGTAAGAGGGTGTCAGTTCAGTAAGAGTGAGTGTAGTTTTACGCCGCACTCAACAATATTCCAGCTATATGGCGGGAGTCTGTATCTAATCGAGTCTGGACCAGACAATCCAGTGATCAGCAGCATGAGCATCGATCTAAGCAATTGGCATACGATGACATGTGTCAACCAAGTCAGCGAGCCCGACCACCCGATCCCGTTAGTCGCCTCTTACGACAAGCATGGGTTATTGAAGATCAATTCTAACCCGGATCTCCACGGGTCAAAACATTAAGAAAGGATGGGCACAACGTACGTGTTTGTGGCTTTGACCGAATTACAAACGTTATGCTCTTAACCCCCGATTTTCTAAAGTCTGCATTTTTATTCTTCCCGATGTTTATCCTAAAAATTTGGCATTCGGGAGTTTGTTATTATTTTTATCACTGTAATTCAGATGTATAAATGCGTTCACAACAAATACGATCATTTAAGTTACGCTTCATTAAAGGAAAATATATTGAAATGAAATGTTAATCGACGTGACTATCTTGAACGTCTACCTATCACTGGATTGTCTGGTCCAGACTCGATTATTTACAGAGTGACGCCATATAGCTGGAATATTGCTGAGTGCGGCGTAAAACTAAACTCACTCACCGTTAATCCTTGCGGAATAGCACATTTTCGATCTGCTAATGCCCACATTAGCAAAATATTACGACTGTCAACAACTGTGACAAATCCAAGCATGTTTCCACAATTGGTCTCGTCTAGCAAAGTCCTATTCGGCGGTCGCGCAATTTGGAACCAGAACTGGTTCTTGAATATTGTACCGGAAATGTGAAGTAAGCTGTGCCCCGTCACGCATATCGCAAGTTGGTCGCGCGCAAAGGGAGCCGGGAACAGCTTAGTACCGGAAGTAGCGCCTCGCGAAACTTACAGGCCCCTATAGGGCGTAAATACAAAAATAAATATACCAGGACTTGGCTATCCTCGGAAACAAAATTCCGGTTGGTGTGAAGGGAAAACAGCTGTGAAAATTATATGAATGGATTACTGAAAATCAGTGATGATACCAGGTGTTCATGAAAAACGGTAAGCATGTACATTAGCACCAGCCATTCACAAAATGTGTACCGACTCCGTGGCGTAGTGGTTAGAGCGTCCGCCCGGAGAGCGGAAGGTCGCGGGTTCGATCCCCGACCGCGTGATACCAAAAGACGTTAAAATATGGTACTTGTTGGTCCCTGCCTGGCGCTCGGCATTAATGGGTACAACAAGGACTGGTTGGCTCGGAGTCAGTATAATGTGTCTGAGTGGGGTATTCATGCTTCACTGCGGCATGGTATCTCAGTGGGCTAGCACTATAAAACCAGCTTAAGTCTGGGCTAGTACAAGCAGTCGCACATACACATACACACGCATGCACGTCGTCATATGAGCGAAATATTCTCAAGCACGACGTTAAACCCAATTTCACCTCACCTCACCTCACCTCACCTCACAAAATGTGACTTAAAATGGAAGCCTGTTTTGCCTGACGCTGCACAGCTGTACTTCTGTTTGCATCAAGTGATCGATGAACCGGAAACTACAGTTAGATAAATTGGAATTGCGACTGCTGAGAAGAAGTACAGATAACCCCATGCTTTGTGAAGAAAAAAGTTTGGGAAATTTGTTTTACGACACATTGGGGATCCGTGTCTTGGACGATACCTTTCTTTTGAAGTTGACTCAGTGTACTTAAATATGCTACAGAGCTTATGATTATTCTTTAAGACTACAGTCCTAAAGCAGAATCATAGACCCAGTTGAATTAATTATAGAACAGTCTTGACTATCCACTCGTGGAGATCCGAGTTAGAATTGATCTTCAGTGATCTATGCCTGTTGTAACGGGATCGGGTGGTCAGGCTGGCTGACTTGCTGTTGACTCAGTATATGTCATCGTATCCCAATTGCGTAGATCGATGCATATGCTTCACTGGATTGTCTTGTCCAGACAATTCTTGACAGAGCGCCGCCATATGGCTGGAATATTGCTGAGTGCGGCGTAAAACTAAACTCACTCACTTGACAATCGTCAGAAACAAATTCCGTTTGGTGTAAAGCGGAAAATAGCTGTGAAAAGCATATGAGCGGAAGTAACGAGCCCATATATGGCAAACACAATGAGGGCCAATATGGAATTCGGTGCCATGATTGAAGATACATGGCAACACAAGAGACGTAAGGTGACTGGGGGTCAGCCCCCCCCCCCCCTACCCCTTGGATTGGAAAACAAAGTAACTAAAGCGCATACATTTTAAGTTTCAGTTCGGACTGGATTCATATACTTCCACCATTACCTACATTACGAGCAAGCGTACAAGACGTGTCGAGTGAATAATCTTCGACTTTTAAGAGTCAACAATGAAGCAAAACGACAAGAAGTCATGCGGTTTACAGAGGGCGTGAAAGATTTTGAGTAAATATGCTTTTTACATCTTTTTTTAATTTAAATCATATTTCTGATTCCCTGTTACAGTCAAGACTAAGCCGGTAGGGTACCGCTCAGTCGGAAGATTTGCAGCAACCTATTGGGATACAGGTGTAATCTTTTACGAAACAAGACAATCCATTCACACAAACACAAAGTTATTTTCAATCATCAAACAAATTAATTAAGAATATAATTAATTCAGTCGTGTTTGAATAAGCCATGATATAAGAGTTTGTTTAGAATAAAATTCGGCGTTACAGCTTTTGTTAACCAAAATTCATTTTTCAATATTATATTATATCTCAATCTCAACTCACTTCTGAACTGAGCAATATTTGGTAAAACAGAATCGAGGTTGCATTTGTACAAGTAATATTTTCCGAATGATATGAACAAATCAAAACATTTTTCTTACAGCCAAAAAGTATCAGTTCCAAAGTGAGTTTGAAATTATGGATGTGATCACAACCTTCTGTTAACCATGATAAAATATTTATCCAAAATATTTGCTCAAATTCACATTCCCATAACAGGTGACAAATAGATTCCTTTTTTCATTACAGAATGAACATAAATCAGAATCTTTTATTTTAATTTTCTTTTAAAGAAATGTATTGGTCGTTAAAATTCTATGGAGTATCCTGTACTGAAACCATCTCAATCTGGTGTTGTGTTGATTTAAACGATTTTAGGAAAATACAGTTCCAGTCAAGACCACTCTTGCTTATTACATCTTTGTCCTCCCGAGTATCTTGGGCGGCGAACTGGCACAGATATATAAACCCATGCTGACTAGGACATAACCTGAAATAGCCGTGTTTGAACGTTTGTTAACGCATACTGTATGACGTCATCGCCTCGGTTAACCTTCGTCAAACATCAAATGCACGCATCAAAGTCACTTTCAAAGAAGATGCGTCACAGATCTCATAACATATGTTTGGATTACTACAGTACAACCAGAAATTGATTGAGAATTTAAAGATTGTAATTCTACTATATTTTTTTACTCATTACTCCACGCATTAAATGTGAATATTAACAGGAACATAACTCCAGATTCAAAGACAGGTGAACAGTTAGTATTTTTGTCAAGTCACCATGGGCATCAATGCAGGCTTCAATGTAGGCGGGGCATACCACTGATCAAAGAAGTTAGAAAGTCGTGTCCATATGCTGTCCCAATTTCGGACCCCCTCTTCACTTTCATTTCAGGGGCGGTGGAGCCTTCAAGTGGTTAAAGCGTTCGCTCGTCTACGCCGAAGGCCCGCGTTCAGATTACCCACATGGGTACATTGTGTGAAGCCCATTTCTGGTGTCCCCGCGCCGTGATATTGCTGAATATGTATTACAAAACGGCGCAAAACCATACTCAGTCAGTCAGTCTTTCATTTCAGCAATATTTGTCAGATTTTTCTTATTGACACTTTCCTTCATAAGTCCCCAAACATTTTCTATTGGATTTTAGGGTCAGGGCTATAAGCTTGGCCAAATCTAATAATGTCATACTTTTGGGTCCGAAACCAGGCCTGTGAATGCTTTGAGCGATGTTTTGGGTCGCTGTCCGTTGCCCTAACACAGATATGCCACCCGCACGTTAAATTTCGGGACTGTACTGTGGGCGCTGATACAAGGTTTTTCAGTTTGTTTGGTCCAGAATTTCAGTGTAATACATTAGGAAACAGCCACATTGTCCCAGTTAAAATTTCTATGCTGTGGCACCAGTTCAACCTTCGCTCTTTTGTTCAGGTTTCATGATCGGTGATGGAATTCCTCGACTTTTCTGCGAACCCATTGCATGCAGTTCAGTTCTAAATTTGTCTCCTTACAGAGGCAGCCACAGTTCCTCTATCAATCATATCCAGCCTTAAAGTTTTCTAAACTCCTTCGTTTGTTTTAGAAACAAGAATACCGAGTCGCCTCCTGTCACCAACAGTCAATTTTCTGGGTCTACCTACGCCTCCCTGGTGATCAATGCCATATCCATTTTGCAATATTTCTCAAAACACGATAAACAGTGGACAAAGGGGATGCCTTTCTACTTGAAATCACTTTAGCTGATCTGATCTCCTCTTATATACTAAATCATCCATACTGAGGATCACTGAAAATGTTGTCTGATAGCAAGTAAACAAAGGGGCAACTCTTCACAAACTAATGAAAAAGGATTAACGGAGTGATCTCTCTCTAGAATGAAACCAAGCACTTGATAGCTGGTCAAGGTTGTATATACTAGAAATCTAATTAAACATATTCCTAAAATTCTCAGTAATTTCTGGTCATACTATACAACTGAGTAACTGACAATCCAATATTTTTGGCAATCAAGTGTTTTCAAATGCACATATAAAGAAGGTATGTTACTCTAATTTGGTTGACAACATTTTAGCCGAGTGAAGTATTCATGAAAAACAATCTGACGAAGCAGAGACAACGCGCCTGTATGTACCGTACAATGGAGAATCTCGTTTACCACGAATCGCGCGTGCAGAAAGAGTCAATCAAAGTAGAAATGTACACGTTGTTCATAGCAGCATACATATACTCTTCAAAACGTAGGGGAATCTGGACTCAATTTGCATAGGAAGTATAAGCATTAACAAACATTAACAGACATCTTATGAACGCATCACCACTTCTCTTTAACATCACCAATAACACAACGCATGGGATGCACGTGCAAAACGCAGTTGCCCCATACACGTGCATGGGGTGTCATTCTTGATTTTGACGGTTTCCAAGAAGGTCGATACATCGCTGTAGACCATTAATTTTGACAATCGTCTTGCATCACACAGTTGTTAGTGTTTGTTTCTAGCCAGTTTTTGTTTGAAAATGAAAATCGTCATAGGATGAATTGGCTGAGAAAAGGGATCAATTAATATTGAATATGATTGTGATAGTAGTACATGTATATATATTGTACTGAAGAATATAAATCCAATGACATAAATGCACAAAAAAGTCATGTAAATACAGAATTTGTTTTTCCCCTTTATTTACCCAGAAAATAGCTGTTAACCATTACTTTTATGATATAAGCCAGTTACAATGTATGGTACTGTTTGAAAAGTATTCAAGCTAGGAGACATTGAATTATCCGACACTCTGTATAATCCGACAATTTTTCCCGGTCCTAGTGAGTGTCGGATTATACAGAGTCCACTGTATGAAGTTCCCTTACTGTTTTAAAGAGTTTATTATGATGGGACGTTTCGGTATAGGTAATGGTTGTCATTGATAAAGCATCACATCTTCCTTATTATTCATTAAATTCCAAAATGCCAATCAAGCAGATTGATTGCAACTATAGATGAATAACAAAACAACATTTCTGAAGACGGCAAAACATAATAACCATTGCACATGTGTCTGTAAAACGACAAGAAAGTTCAAATAAAACATCCGAGGCGCAAAATCCTCATCCAATATGCTTTTCAGTTTATTGATTCTGGAGGATAGAGCATTTATATCACCTGAACTGGGACAAAAATGACCTTGTGACTAGAAGGATGACTTCAAAGTTCCAATAATCTAACTTTCATTTTATGTCCATCAATATTGTAGCAGTTCCAGCCTTTGCAGTTTTACAATCATACATGCTCTTTGTTCGACATTTATATGCCACTCGTTCTGAAAAGTTGTCAGATCAAGGTTACACAATTTCAGTATAAAGCTTTCAAAATGTTTCAGGCGGAGAACATGAAATAGACTGTTTGGAAATATTTTGTGACCAAGTTCTTGTAAAGAGTTAAATTGAGCGTTGAAAACGTCTGGTAATGAATCTATACTGAACGTTTCCAGTTGTATTTGGCAATCAGCAGCAACTGTGATGTGTATAGTTAGATCGATGTATTCACGTCAACGTAAAAAGCCGTTTTTTTACACATTCAGCCTTCTTCTCTCTGACCATGAGCATACGTTCTTGGTTCTAAAGCGTTAATGATTTTCCTTTGAAGTAGAAAGCGACAGGTTTATCATTATATATTGTACCCGTGTCTGGAACAGGCCGTAGACGTGACAAACTTGGCTACCCCTACGTGACTTGTCCTAAGCCGTAGTCAGCAATATCAGAGCATATATACAAGAATCTAAAGGCATTCAAACCTCGGTCGGGCGAACCAACCCGCGTATAACCAAATATCCAATGGATGGGGCGTTAACAGATGGTACTTGTTGTTTGGAATACTTACGTCTTGCTAAAATATCTTACCCCATGTGTTACCTAGATGTTACCAATGAGGAAGAGCAGCATGTTTTTTCTCTGTAAACTTAAGAGGATATTTGCTTCCGTTTTTGACAACTTCTTAAGATAAACGCGACAATCGCTGCTTCGTATACCTTATATAAAGACGGTACTTGTTGTTGTCCTGTCTGGTCCATCGGGATTACTTACTTTTTTTGCCAAAAATGTCTTACCCCACGTGTTTCTTAGATGTTACCCATGAGGAAGTGCAGTATGTATCTTCTCTGTAAACATATGATGACATGTGCTTCCATTTTTAACCTAAACCCGGAAAATATCCGCTTCGTTAAACCTGATTTAAATGTGATGTTTGTTGCTGCCCTCTCTGGTCCCATGATGATATTTACTTCTTGCCAAGATGTCTTACACCCAAGATGTTGCCAATCAGGAAATGCAGTATGCTTTTTCTCAGTAAACTTCAAGTGACATTTTTTTCCTGATTTGAATAATTCCTCTGAACCTAAAACCGAAGTTTCAACCCGAATTCCGCTTCGTTAAACCTTATAATGTATCTCTTCACTAGCTATCGACTGGTAAAGAAAAGCATACTCTGTCACAGTGAACATTTTAAGGCTAGGTTTCATTTTCGCAGACAAGAACATAATTTTGAACCTGACGTCTTCTTTTTGACAGGGTTACCTCCAACAAATTCTACATTGGCCTCAGATACAACGTGTCGACGGCCACCCACCTCTGGCCTGACGGTACAGGTAGGTAATATTTCTAGCATCTGGATTTGTGTTTGTTTGTTTGTTGTATAACGCCGCACTCAACAATATTCCAGCTATATGGCGGCGGTTTGTAAATAATCGAGTCTGGAGCAGACAATCCAATGATCAACAGTATGAACATCAATCTACGCAATTGGGATACGATGACATGTGTCAACCAAGTCAGCGAGCCTGACCACCCAATCCCGTTAGTCGCCTCATACGACAAGCATGGCCAGTTCTAACCTGGATCTTCACGGGTCAGCATCTGGACTGAGAGCGGAAGACTGATGGGTCATTCCCCTGGCCGCGTCATGCTAAGAGGCGTTAAAAATTGTACTTGTTACCCACTGGTATGGGATTAGCCCTGGCTAAAAGATCGATAATCGGAAATATCATCGATGGGAAGAATTATTAACGATTATCAATATAAAAGTAATGGCAACGATAATATCGTACATAACCTCTAGTGATGAACTATAGTTTTAGTTTACTCACACAATACACAAGGTTATTATGGGCCGATGGCCTACATACACTCTGCGAATAAAGAATTTTTTCTTGGTTAGGTCTTTATTCATGGACTGCTTCTAAATTATGTACAGGATGCTGTTTTGTTATTTATCCATGCATAAACATGTCAATAATCACCGGTGATTTTAAATATAAATGAAAAATATTTATCGTTAATCGATCGATATTTAATTAACGATTATCGATATCAATAACCTGTATCGATATCAAGCCCACTGACTGGAATGTATGGAATCCTTGGAGGGACATTGTCGGGTTGCCGCATTGTCGCTTTTACAAGCAAAAAAGTGTGAAAATTAACCAAACTGCGGCAATTTGTCGCATTGAAGCTTTAAACAATATCTTTTGTATTTGACAAAAAAGCGACAATGGGACAATGCGACAGTTGTCAAAATATGTCACATTGTTGCCATTTCTGTCAGGAAAGTGTTTTAAAATGCGCGACAATGAGTGAGTGAGTTTAGTTTTACGCTGCACTCAGCAATATTCCAGCTGTATGTGTGAGGACAACAGAAATGAGTTCTGGAAGCGTATAGGGAGAGTCGGCGTAGGGAATGAGAGATAGAGAGTGACGCCACTGGAGGTGGCGGAGCGAGCGAGTTTAGTTTTACGCCGCACTCAGCAATATTCCAGCTGTATGGCGGCGGTCTGTAAATAATCGAGTCTGGACCGGACAATCCAGTGATCAACAGCATGAGCATCTATCTGCCGCGCGACAATGCGAAATGTTAATTACGCGTGTGGTGTTTGTATGACACTGCTGTATGGTATAAGGGGGTGCTTTGACTTTTTGAACAGGGAGAAGGAGAAACTTGTTCATGGATCCATACACACCTTTCCACACCCAGCCATATCTCAAACACATACATATAAAGATAATTTTGTAGGCTGAATCTAAAATTCAGATCCATGATATTTTGTTGATGTAAAATATGTTGACATTTTTCATATTTCTTTGTCACTTTTGCTCAAAGTTACATCTACGATATTTATTGATTTTCATTTAACGGTAATCGACCTCGATGATCTATATCCATAGCCAGCCCTAGTTCTGCCTGCTGTGAGAAGTAAGAAAATATATTTTAGAATAAATAAAATTATTTTCATTCAGCTAATAGTTTGACAACGAATTGGTTACCGGGGCAACCTGCCACTGACCAATGCGTTGTCCAGTACAGTGGACAGTCTCCAAAACACGGACAGTGGGAATCTATGGACTGTACACGAGGCTCTCCTTTCATCTGTGAGAGTGGACGTGAGTATGAACAAACACAATGGTGGCAATAAATATTTCGGTGCTAAAAACTCGATGATGTAAAGTCATTCTTTTTATTTGCTTCACTCGGGGCGGTGGGGTAGCCTAGTGGTTAAAGCGTTCGCTCGTCACGCCGAAGACCCGGGTTCGATTCCCGCACAATGTGTGAAGCCAATTGCTGGTGTCCCCGCTGTGATATTAGGAACATTGCTAAAAGCGGCCTAAAACTAAACTCAGTCACTTTATATTTCAGATTCTGCGGATCCTGATCTTGGGACAGGCGGATTACATGAAGTCTCATTTCGAAGTTATCTGAAAACAGATTCAGCAATGCTCAACACATACGATGCAGGTAGCGGTATTTTTAGTTCACAGAATTGTGGATTTTCTATGAAGTATTAAAAGTAAAACATTTATCTTATACATCTATATGTGAGAGAAAACGTGGAAATAGTAAAGTATCCGCCATAGGACACGTCGGAACATAAGTCCAAAGTGACTGAAACTGCGTCTAAATGGATATACCAGGCAGATGATAACAATAATGCCTATTTATTTTGCGCTAGTGAGGCGCTAGTATTACAGTCATATACCACCGGGTACCCATTCACTGCTGGGTGAACAGAAGCAACTTTTTAACGTACTTGCGTAGGGTGAAACCACAAGTGCACGAATGTTTGTGGAGTTATAATCAAGTTCTGATTCGAACCAGATTGTGCAGTATAAGCTGACCCTCTAACGTCCGAGCTATTCTCATCCTTGACCGCGACAGGATCCGAATATCGTGGGTTCGAATCCCATTCTGTAAGCGCAACATCCCTTGATCACAAGATGTTCGGGTTACATCCGGGTTAGAATTGATCTTCAGCAACCCATGCTTGTCGTAACGGGATCGGGTGGTAAGGCTCGCTGACTTGTTTGGCACATGTCATCGTATCCCAATTTTTGCAGATCGATGCCCATGCAGTTGATCACTGGATTGTCTGTCTAGCCTCGATTATTTACAAACCGCCGCCATATAGCTGGAATATTGCTGAGTGCGGTGTAAAACTAACCTCACACACACAAAGATGTTCAATATGAAACCCTCTCATCAACCTGTTTATTGTTTTCAGCTCAAGCAGCTCAAGTGTCTTATTTCCGACATGAAATCAGCGACTTTGTTATCCACAAAGGGTTTAAAGAAGAGCCAGTGGAGGTCTGTGCATTGCGATGCATGTCCGACAGCCTTTGTCTTGGGATGACGTACACCCACAACACAAGTCCACATTCAAGCTTCGATTTTTGTGTTTTATTAAAAAACTGAGTCTTAGAAAGTAACACGATGATGTCCCCGAGTTTGTCAAAAAGAACCTGGAAAGTCCTACGGAAACTGATGAAAGGCTTCAGCGACAACAATTTCGAGGATACTAAAATGCGAAGGTTATCAACACCAGTTCTGGTTCCAAATTGCGCGACCGCCAAATATAACTTTACTAGACCGGACCAAGTGTACAGCCCATGCTTGGCTGTCACAGCTGTTGACAATTGTAATAGTTGGCTAATTTGGGGATGGTTAAATCGGAAAATTGTTATTTCTGCAAGGTTTGTCGGTTCCTTACTGTCAACTGAAAACCATGAGACAATTCGAAAAGGTATGAAACGTTATTTGTCACCGGAAGTACTGAGGTCTCGCGAAGTGCCGTGACCTACTTACGGGCCCTATTTGCGATGGTATGTTTGTAGTATCTTTCCGTTCGAGATCATGAGCAGTAGACAAGCTTTATGTTAAGCGAGAACGAAAATAAGGATCGGATTGCCGCCATCTGGAACCGGACTGATTGTGTCTTATTGCTCGTACCCGGACGACTTATTGTTTTGCTCATGTTATAAAACTTCGAGAAGCCAAGACATTTTTAATGTCATAATGACATAACTGTCATTGTGTTGATTGTGGCTTTGCGTCATTGTCTTTGTGTATTTAGAATCAATCGTCGTTTAGGTTGCTTCCAGCACACCTGAAGGGGTACATGTCATGGTGAAGTGCCACCATAAGCCAAACTAGCTGAGAAACCCTTAGAGATGTATTGTCATCGCCATACATAGTTGTACAAGCTGAAGTAAAGTGTTGAGCAGAAAGTCTACATCTTATCTAATCTTATGTAAATTTAAGTAACGCGATATTGTTATGTGGAAATATGTTGTTTGGTGTTATTTGTAACACATGCTTGTTTTTTAATAAAATACTAGTTCCTGCCAAAATATGTCACAAGTCCGTTTGGTTTTGAATGTGTAGCAGAGCTTGGAGTCCATCAGGTGGCAGTTTTACCCTGGCATTTGGCCGGAATCATAAGATGGACGATGGCGTTGTCTCAGGATTATGGAAAAGGTTTTGCCGCTTTTATCAGTTACACAAAGCAGTGTTTTACAAGGACTTTCCAGTGATCAACTACAAGTAGATTAACTTGGCCCTAGAATGTGTGAAATGCATAAGTTAGACATTCATCCAGTCTGGCGGGGCCCAATTTGCAAAGTTCGAATCTAAGACCCTGATAATGAACGTTGATGAACAACATAATCGTCCCCATAACCGTTTTGAATAACAGTGTTCATTCCACAAACGGGCGACAAAGGGGGCAGTTTCAAAGTCGCATCTTGGACTCTATATATACTCTTCCAAAAAAGTAAGGGAACCAGAACTTTCAATTTGGATAGGGAATATAAGCTTTAACAAACTTTTCAAAGACAGACATCTTATGAACGCACCACCATTTCTCTTTATTACCACCCCTAAACACAACGCATGGGATGCACGTGCACAACGCATGGGACGCACGTGCACAACGCAGTAGCCCCATACACGTGCATTCCTGATTTTGACGGTTTTCAAGCAGGTCGATAAATCACTGTAGACGGTTTTTTTTGTTGTTGTTTTTTAAATGAAAATACATGCAAATTTCACGTCATACATCAGTCATCTTTAAAGAGGGATAACTGTACAAACAGCTATGATCATAAGGAAGTGCAAGTGGTGATGCACTCTCAAAACATTCATTATTATCATATCAACATTGATTGACTCCGATATATCTTCCAATTTTTTACAATCGTAAATTTAAAATGATGTTCCCCTTCTTTTCTTGAAGAGTATATATCGTTTAAAAGCGTAGGCCTGCAGCCGTGACTGAAGGTGTCATGGTGGAATTGAGATTAACAAACAGTTTTCAACATTTTCATAGTGAAGAGCTATGCTGCCAGAATATCTACGTTGCTAAATATAACATCTAGCTCAAATACATTTTCTTTAGTACATTAGATATACATTAAAATACAGTCTGAAACATTCTCATGGAAAACCCCTACAATCCCTTTCCACATTAATTGATAAGAATTCTCAACTAAATGTAGAGTCGGTTGTACACCTGATCAAATCATTATGTTCATGAATCACTATCAAAATAGAGTGAGTGAGTGAATTTAGTTTTACGCCGCACTCAGCAATATTCCAGCTATATGGCGGCGATCTGTAAATAATCGAGCCTGGTATGAAAATAGAGATGGTATTTGGTGTTCACGAAAAGATGAGCGCATCCTACTCGACAGGTGGAACCCGTCATAAACGCACGCAGAGGCTAGGCAATTGTCACGGGTTTTATTAACAGGGATTCGGCTGACCATGTGACCTGTCAAATCACATTGATCACTGGCAGCTGCTCTTCTGAGTAAATACACCATTGTATTTCACGGAAGGATATTTTTCAAATTCTCTGTTATTTTGTGCTAATACAGCATTTGGTTGGTTGGTAACTTTGACAACAATAGGAATCTATTTCAAGTGCTTGAGGAAGCGGCTGTCTCCGGGGAGGATTCTAATACAGCATGCACATGTATAATTCAAAACCTTTTTCAAAACAGAGGAACCTTTCTTCATTTTCGAGTAATCGAATTTTGTATGTACCTCGAGGGATCGCACAAGCGATAAAATCGATTAATTGCATATTTCATTATCGTTAGGTTTGACTCGAACCCGAGAGAGTGTGTGAAGTATAGCATATGAAAGGAAAATCTTTAATGTGACGCAAGTGTATTCTGTGAACAATTGTATCTCTTGTGTAATTGGGAATGGCTGTATTATAGTTTACAAGGACAGTGTATCGGCTGGATGTCGCCTTGTTCATGTTCACAGATCTGCTCCTTGAAATATTCGATTTAAACCTTCCCGAAGAATATGAGAAAAGAACGGAATATTAGATGTTGGGCACCATCACACTCCTTGGGGTTTGTCTGAAATATAAAGAACTGAACATTAGCTTTTGGGCACAATCACGTTCCTTGGGTTGAGTCTGAAATGAAAAGAACTGAACATTAGCTATTGGGCACCATCACGTTCCTTGGGGTGTGTCTGAAATATAAAGAACAGAACATTAGCTGTTGGGCACCATCACGTTCCTTGGGTTGAGTCTGAAATGAAAAGAACTGAACATTAGCTATTGGGCACCATCACGTTCCTTGGGGTGTGTCTGAAATATAAAGAACAGAACATTAGCTGTTGGGCACCATCACGTTCCTTGGGGTGTGTCTGAAATATAAAGAACAGAACATTAGCTTTTGGGCACCATCACGTTCCTTGGGGTGAGTCTGAAATATAAAGAACAGAACATTAGCTTTTGGGCACCATCACGTTCCTTGGGGTGAGTCTGAAATGAAAAGAACTGAACATTAGCTGTTGGGCACCATCACGTTCCTTGGGGTTGAGTCTGAAATATAAAGAACTGAACATTAGCTGTTGGGCACCATCACGTTCCTTGGGTTGAGTCTGAAATATAAAGAACAGAACATTAGCTGTTGGGCACCATCACGTTCCTTGGGGTGTGTCTGAAATGAAAAGAACTGAACATTAGCTGTTGGGCACCATCACGTTCCTTGGGTTGAGTCTGAAATATAAAGAACTGAACATTAGCTGTTGACTTTATTACCTGTTGGGCACCATCACGTTCCTTGGGTTGAGTATGAAATATAAAGAACAGAACATTAGCTGTTGGGGCACACACTCACAGAAAACTAACGGACATAACGAACTTCGGGTACACCGAACTAAAACTAGTGGTCCCGTCATAAAAGGCATAATTCCGAAAAAGGATGTGAACCGATCGAGATACTGAGAAAACGGACCCCAGAGAAAACTGATCCCCCCCAAAATCGAGAAACGGCCACTTAGCTGGATAGAACGGCCACCGAAGCTTGAGAAAACGGCCTGTGTTGCTTGGGAAACGGCAACAAAAGTCGCACCAAGATCAAAGGAGATTTTATGAGTATATAAATTCTTAATAATAGTGATTTACGTCATTGGAGATACGCTTTTAAAAATGATTGATTGTGGGTTTTTTTCAGTTTCAATATCCATAGCGGTTTAACCCTTGAAAATTGATTGGTTGTTTCAATAGATTTTACAGGTAAGATTAGTTGATGATAGAGAACAAAGCTAATAAGGTATATGTATTGTTTGTATTAATGAGCGGATTACTTGAATATTGAATTACATCAAATGTGAATAAAGAAGTCTGTTTTAACTAATTCCAACTTTTGTTCTTGTAGTTCCGCCATGGTTCCTTGTATGGTGATCAACCGTTACTCTCCTTCAGTGCCAATATTGTGCACACCTAAAACTTTGACATGGCTATGTTATCATTGTTGTTGCCTTCTTATTATAATATTGATTTAGAATTTAAAAGCAAAATCAAATACATATAGTTTTCTGTTAGATATAATGCCCGTTTTCTCTTGGCCAAGAGGCCGTTTTCTCCAGCAGCGGTGGCCGTTTTCTCTAATTATTTTTTGGCCGTTTTCTCTGGGGTCCATTTTCACTATAATCCAACTGATCCATTGCCCGACATAAGCTTGAAATAAATGCTGAATTTAAAATACAGTCAAGCAGTATAACAATCAACCTGGACTTTTTAGCCCATAAATAAAGAAAATTCCAGGTCCCGATCCGCAAACGTTCGAAACGTTACGACCTGTCGTAACGCTAACGCTATAGTTTATCATAGGCTTACGAATGTCGGAACACTACGAACGTTTTGTGGATCGGGCCGGGCCCAAGTACATTAATAGTTACCTGTTTTCTATTAAAGTCTCACAATAAAACCATTTGACCTGACAGACTTTGGCGTTTACTTGCCAGATATTACCATAAACTATTAATATGGTTGTTTGATCATTCTACACGTTGATGAGGAAATAAGAAATCGTCATGTTTACGAATAACAACTTTTTGTGTATAACATCGCCCGATGTCTCTTATAAATGCTGTTATCCCGGAGAGGGTGAAGGGCCTCCTTTCACAAAGCACTAAGGTGATCGTAAGTCACTAAGGTATCCTTAGTGCAATGTTAAAGAGTAAAGGTTAACACTTAGTAAAGGTTGCTTCGTGAAAGGTTTCCCTATTTAAGGAGATGGCGTAACTCCGCAGGGACCGTTAGACCTAACTGTAACTTTGATGTGCACGCTTAATCTTATTGGAGG